TTACTTACTGATTTATCGTAAAAAAAAGATTACAATTTTGCCGTATCCCGTGAACCCCCCCTGCTTAAAATAACTTCTCACCGACAGTTGGTAATTGCATAATCAGATGACAACATTGACAATTAAACTTTTGCAATGAATACTTACTAAAATATATTAAAAGGTTTAAAATTGTAAATTTGTATTAAAAGATGAATCAATTGCAGCAACTTAAATTCTATACTTCGTGTATTGCATATAATTTAGCACAAAGGTGATTAGCAGGGGGCCTGCACAGGATAGGGCAAAAACTAGTCCTTTTATTTTGAGTTGGTAGTATCTGCTAGCCTATATGTTTAGAGAGAAGAAGATTTTTTTAGTGATTTTTACTTCCGTTTGTTTCACGATTACAAAATTTTTCAAGTTATCCGTGATTATGCGTAAGTTTGTTTTATTTCGCCCATTTTTGTTTCGCTATTGTCAAGAACACAAGCAAGTAAGTAACATTTCTATTATTCTTTTTATATGTATATGTATGGTCTAAGAACAATTTAATTAATATAGTTGTGTATTAGAATGGTTTATAGTTGTTGCGTCCAAGGATGTAAAACTAAAAGCGGCCAGAATATAAAGATGAGAAAATTTCCTCCAGTTAATTCTCCACTGTTCGAACAATGGAAAATTGCTACGAGGAATAATTTATTGCAAGATAAGGATAGTCACTATATATACTGTATTACTCAACACCTGCACTAATATTATTATCAATAATATTAATTTGTGAATGACCATCTATATGTATGTGGACAACATTGGAGAGGTAATTAATCTATTGTTCAATACATCACAACTAATCAATGTTATTTCTTTAGACTCGATGGATCAAACATGAGTAAACGTGAACCATCTATGAGAATGAAGTATAGGATGTGGACCATCTATGATGTAATATTCTTAAATAAAAACATTTTTTAGTTAAATTTTGTTTTATTTATTTATATTTTAATATATAAATAATATATATATAAAAAAAGTTTTATACTTTATTTATTTAAGGTTGGTATTAACGGATTTCTATTTTCTAGTTCTCCCCAAAGACGAGTTTTTTAACTAGCAACTGACGGTTCCCTGGTGATTAGACAAGAAATATTCAGGCTGAGATGTACTTAACGTAAAATAACTTACATAAAGGTAAAGTTTATGAAGGGAAACAACTTGTGTTTAAGGTAAATAGAAATTAAAAGATAAAGAGTTGCAAGAGATTATTGTTGACTTTTCTCGTTTTTGTTACTAGGGAATTTCCATATTTTCATGTTGTTAAGAAAAAAAAGGACAGTAGATGAACGTCGAAGGAAACTCATTGATAAATCTGGGGAATGCATTAATCACGTCGTCCCTGTTTCACGTAGATAAAAGGAGGCGACGTCGTCGTCGTTGAGGGGGTGTCGCGATGCGGAACTCCATTTTTACTTATTATTCCATTATTTCCGGGGAAACCCCCATCGCGCGCGAAAAGCCGCCAACCGAAGAATGGAAAAAGAAGCAGCAGCAGCGGAAGAAGAAAAACTCGTGAGTAAAGATGGGACAGAGATGCATATTGCTTATTAGAAGAGACTGCGTCGCGTAAATAATCGAACCGTGATTGATGGCTTCAGCTCCCAAAAACACTTCACCGATCTAAGACATCTCTCGCTGTTTATTAGAGGAAATCGAAGAACGCGCCGATAATTTATGTTTGAAATATCGGCGACGCGTCCGCAGTTTCTTTCTTCTTTCTTCTTTTTCTATTCTAGGGAGGGAAACATAGTCGTAATTCATGTTTTACGAGTGCAGCGAACGGACGTCGGATTCCGGCGGAGGCGCCGGGTGCTCTCCTCCCGCCTAGGCAACCCACACGACCCCTCGACGATGACCATTGTCCATGTCGCGCGGCAACCATCCATAACAAAACTTTGCGCGTTCCGCCAAGTTGGAGCGTTTTTCCTTCGGAATTGCCCCATCTCTATATGCAAATATCATACAATCCTGATGTACATATTCGAACATATTCCAAGAATGAACAACTAAAAACAAGAAAAGTTTGCAGAATATACTGATTATGGATGATGCGAGGACTTCTTTACAGCACCACCGAATCGAAACTTATGCAACGTAACATACAAAAGTTTTTGCTCGTTTGTTATTGCTACCAACGAAATGTAATTACTTACAAAATCGAAACGTAAAAATAACCAAATAATTTTATACTTTTATTTTTATCTATATTTACGTTTCATGAAATTAATTGCAATCGAATTTGGTATATTTGGTTGTTGTTTGTTTTTGCATCGAAATAACGTTATTAATTAGTTTAAAATCTTTGATCTTTGAATCATAATTTAAGCGCCAAATTCAAAACTTTAAAAAATAATTTTAATAATTGCGACGATGCGAACGTATCAGTCTTGATAGGCAGACAGATGGTGTGTATTGTGTGTGTGTGTGTGTGAGCGCACAAGTCGAAGGAATATAACTTTAAATGAAAGATCGCCGAAGTTAGATTCAAACTAATAACAATGAATATCATTTAAGTTTCGAAATAGACTTATAACCGGATTGTCCGAAGTTTCGCGAACTTGGGTAATATAACGAATTGTTCGCACACATTTTCGCGGAAAATCTAAACCGTTTTGCGAACGCGCATTCCATCCTCCTCGCATCTCCTCTCTATTTCGAACGTCCGTGTCACGTCTTTATCTCTCTCTCGAAAGCCGACAAAAGGGAAGCATTTAAAATCAATGGGCAAAGGTACAATAGGTAAACACTCCCATCAATGTGACTCAAACCGCAATGAGATCGTAACGATATTATACCGAGTGTTTCTCGATACTTTTGCACAAGTATTTCAATCTTTCAATGGAAATTTATTACGATCTGATGGAGGATTCAGTTATGAAATTTTCGAGCTCATGACTATTTATTTCGCTGAACGGGATTAGGTAAATGCTTGATATAATCCTGTTCCTCCGAAGAATAATCCGATTCATCATCATCTCTCTCTTTCTCTTTCGCAGTCGGGATTGAATAAATGCAAATCTTAAATCGGAAGCCTTCATCGCCGCATCTCCTTTTGCGAAAAGGCATAATTAAACAGGAATTAAGGCTGTCCAAATGCGATCAAAGAGGATTCTATCTTCGTGCTTTTCTCTCTTTCTCTCAGCGTTTCCATCTGACGAGGAAAAAATAAAGTTGTTGAAACACCCGGTGTATATATGCATTTTACTCTCTCTCTCTCTCTTTCCCTTTAACCCTCGATTATTTTTTTTTCACATTTTCTCTCTCACTCTCGTACAGTGTGTGTCTATATCCTTCGGCGAGAAGGAACGGCTCGCTAAACGACTCTCCGAAGATTGCAGATTAGATATTTCAAGGAGTTCGCTACTCTAAATCGACTTTTTCATCCGCCCCCCACCGTGGGTATATCGGGATGAAGGGATGTTGGAGAAGGATGAGGAGGCGGCGGCAGTGGCGGCGGCTCCCGTGTATAGCTTATTCGGCGAGATAATGTGATAGCTTTTGCGGGTCTCGCGTATACATCACTTGCCAATTGCCCGCCTTCCACTTATCTGATTACGCCTTTTATTCACACACCATTTTCTATTTAGAATTCTTCTGTCCTTTTATTCATTCTTGCCTGTTTGTTTTCTTTTTTTTTGCTCCCTTTTTCTTTACTTTCTTTGCTGATTTTCTTTTCCCACTTAGTTTTTTTCCAACGAGCGACACAAACTAAAATAGCAACGACCAAAACAATCTCAATAAAAAATCTTATAATATCTTATAATATGTCAACATTTAAACTAGTCGTATCGATTATCATTTAGACATAATTCATGGTCAAACGTTTTTATATGGTTGTGATTTTATATTTTTGCTTTTTGACCGAAAAGTACGCGCGACATCGTTAAAATAAAACTTGCAATTGGATGTATGTTAAAGTTGGGATTTTCGCTTTCTGGTTTTTCGGGTTTTCGAAGTAAATTGAGTTGGAAGTCTGGGCGTGTGTGTGTGTGTATGTGGGTAGTATTTGTGCGACCGATAGTGAATCTGAGCCGCACACGAACAAACGGCAGACAGGATGGAAGGCAGGTGGATTTAATGAAAAAGGAGTTAATTGGAACTGCGGCCGAAGGATTAAACTGCTCCAGGATCGCAGCTACCTGCACCAGATTGAGGGATATCCTCACACTCCAACACACACACACACAAACGTTCATCTATCCCTTCACATCTATATCACTATATAGTGTGTGTGTGTGTGTGTATATATAGATAAGATTGGCTGCGCTCCGCAGTTGTCGCAGGCAAGAATTGATGTCGAGAACCAATTGGGTTCACGTGTTCTGTCAAGTACCTACTAAACGACCGACTCAGCAATTGTCTCCAGGCGTATTATACGACGAACTCTGTCTCTGTTTGTCGTCCTTCGTTCCCTTTCCATACCCTCGGATGTCGCTTGGAAGAGGAAGACATTCGCTTCAGGTGTGTGCGTAAATATCGTCGTGGCTGCAGAGCGGGACGTGTAAACGACGTGCCCGGAGTTTTACCGTTCGAATTCCAAGAAGCAGAACGCTCGGCGAAGAGTGGATGAGTAAGGAAGGAAGGATAAGTATTGTCGATGGGAAGGAAGAAAGCGGTCGGGGATTCTATTACTTCTATATGCACTAATTCGAACTTCCCACTGAGACTCCACCTGGCGGTTATAGCTAAAATTAATATCGCCGAAGACGTGATTACAACTCCAAAATTACACACCTTGAACATATAAATAATATAAAAACTATTACAATATATGAACAAAACTGATTGAAATAAGAAGTAAAAAATATGGCTTGTAAACAACATAGAAATAGGTCAGAATTTTTCAGTTTCGTTTCCGTGATTACGGTGCAAAATATGTATTTAAATTATTCATTCATTCGCGTGCTGCTTTCTAATGTGTATGTAGTACGGTCGTATGTATGTATATATATATATACATGCTTTCCTGTTTTGGGAATAGCCTTGGCTCCTCGATGGGAATAGAGTGAATCCTCGGAATCCATCCGCTCTCGTTCGGAGTGGAGATGTGAAAGCTACGCTCGCTCGTTCTCTCCCACACTCACACACACACTTTACTGATTAGGATGCGAAGCGGACGCCACAATGGAATGCAGTGCATCTGTTATTGTTGTTGTAGCCGTGTGTGTGTGTGTCTACGTCTTAGGGGACTCTCGCTCGTTCTCTTACAGCAGGACCACCGGAAGGTCTCTTTTATGTTGGCTAGCGCAGACGGCGAATGCATCCCATGAGAGCTTCTTTTCTAGAAACTTTTTCGCAAACACACAAAAAGAAGTGTATGGAAAAGAAAAAAAAATGTAAAGAGGAAGAAGACGGTGAGTGAGGACGAATATAATGGATAAGGATATTATGTTAGGAAATGTGATTAAATACAGTAAAATGTAGTCGATTTAGTATATTTGTATTAAATTTCAATCGTGAATAGTGCATTAGTAAATTTGATTGCTTTTTGCTTTATATTTATTTGCAAATAGAGACGAAAATTTGTATTTAAATAATATAAATTGAAAAGTTTGACGATGAATGCTAATTTGATGTACTATTGAAATAAACGTAATATGGTAACTGAAAGCGCATTTAGCTAGAATATAATTAGTCTAAGAAACCTGGCCCGGCAAGCGATTTTATCCGGCCCGCCAAGTATTTTGAAAAATTTCGTAAAATATAAATGTAGCGTCGCGCGTCAAAATCCATATGACTGCAACGTTGGCGACGTTTCAAGTCAGTTTCAAATGGAAATAATTGATCTTCAAGCTAGCGATCAAATCAAGAACAAATATAAGGAAGGAAACTTGATCGATTTTTACAAATTTTTGGACGCAAAAGAGTTTCCAAATTTAAACCAATTGG